GTCATTGCATTGTAAAGTTTTTTTCATTCAAGCGTGCGAGACATTGCCTTTAACTGATTGGGGCAGGAAAAATTGAGAAAGTTAGCTGCTAGGCCAGTTTGCCGCCCGTAATTTAAAACTTATCTACGATGATCTATGTCCACAACTTCACTATGCAAAGGCCTATGCAATAATACCCATGTTACCACAACAATGCCCGAGGGGTTATTGCTTATTAAACACATAAGCAACAATGTTTTCATTAGAGGTGTCCTCTGGGTTAGAATTTCACAATCCATTTACGTTGTAGCTTCAGGATATAGGACCCCAAGATTGCCTACACACACACACTAAGCCCCGATCTGTAAATCCACTTGTTAACCTTATTGGGTAAATTGTAGGCATTGTGGTTAAGGAGATATGCAGTCGTTAATTTGTGTAAAGAGGCACAGTTCTGATTAACACGTAGGCTTTCGCGAACAAAATTATCCATAATAGAGGGGTTTTTGGGTTAGATCGCATAAATATATATGTGTCGTTAAACCCGCCACCATCCGACAGCCACTTAGCATGGTTTGTCACGTAAACAAAACATACCAATTCGTTACTCGGTCAGCACACCATTGTGTTGGAGGGTGCTTAAGGAACAATTCTGTTCAACTTATCCACCGCACTGCAGCATTCTGCAATGAGCTTCAGTCTCATGGTTGGCAGAGCGTGAAGTCAGCCGCGAGACCCCATTGCGGCTGTAGAAAGAGCTAACGAGGCAGGAAAGGACAGCAGGTCGTACGTGCTGGAATTAAAAAACACATTTAACCTCCCCCCCCCTCCAACAAAGTCAGCTGTGAAGGAAAGGACAGGGAAATTAAAGTGCAGAGAATGCCACCAGCACGACTGAGCCGCGCGGAGCGTGCGCACTGAAGTTCGAGGAGAGGTTTAAACAACAAACAAAAAAACACTAAACTTCCAAAAGCTTTGTTAGCCGACAGCTGATCGGGCGGCGAGAACATACACTAAGTGCCTCCTCAAAGGAGGGGCTAAATTGAGGAGCGATATTTTCAAGATGTATTGCGGGAATAAGTACGTTTAGCGGGCATCGTTATGTGCGGTTCGATGTGTTACCGAGGGCGTTTGCGCTCAGTATAAAATATTCACCGCCCCGCAGAATACGGTGAAGCAGAGCGATGCATTTCACAGCGCTTGGCACGCGTTTTTCAGCGGCAATCCGGATATCGGTCAGCCTTGACGCATCGGCGCGCTGTGTTAACTAGCGGGGGTGAGCGTCTCTCTGCGTGCGTGCAAGCAAGCGACAGCCAACACGGGGACTGCCCCATCTCCCTCTGCCCTCGCGGTTAAACGCGTTGCTTGCCCTTCCCAATTGTTATTTCACGTCTCACTTGATTTTCTCACTGGCTTTGGCCAATAGGCGGTGTAACACTTCCCCCCCTCGCCCCCCTCGCGCCTGGCAGAGTGGAGATTTAGCCTGCTTCAAAATTCCACGGCCGCACGCGGTAAATGTAAATCGTCAGCTGTGTTGCCCGCTACACGGTCACTGGCGCCGAAGAAGCCCATCCATAGTCGCTGCTGTTTAGCAAATTCAGCTCTTCGTGTTTTAACGTTAAAAAAGAAATATTTTTTTAAAAAATTTAAAGAAAAACTCTGGAGGGTTATCTGCCCAGCGTGGATGAGCGAGTGTTTGACAGATCTTCTTTCTCAAGCGTGGTGGCTGCTGTTATCAGGCTGCTCTTGCAGTTGGCTGGAGAGGCCTCGGCTATGGGTCGAGACATCATTATTATTATTATTTTTTTATAAGCTCGGAGTGATAGCCATCAGGACATTTTATAGAAAGAGTGCTCATGTGCAGGATACAGCAAGGGTTACGAGGAGGGGGATAATGATGCCACCTGACAAATCAGATTCACAAGCAAAGTATCGTTTTACGTGTCGTTTAAATGCATATTTCCCTGAACTCCTGACAGAATTGCACTCCATTTGTTACGATAATAACGTTTAGTTTTATACGTAGCGTCTTCGTTCGTCCAAATTGCATCTCACAATCGCTGAGGAACCGCACACAAGCTGGCAGGCAGCCAGGCAGTGAGCCCGAAACCAGAATTTGCCGCAGTCCTCTATATATTTGGACATTTCCATCGTCAGCTACATTAGGTTGAAAAGTGACTTTAATAATAATGATCATTTATTTAATTCACGTCAACCTTGGGTGGAGAGATAATAATTCAAATGACATTTTTTTGTATGTACTCTCTCACTTGCTTCCTGAATATACACAAGGCGTCCAGGCCCATTGATGAGTGTGAGATGAAACCGAACACCTCCTCCATGCCCAGGGAAAGGGAGCTTCGCAACGTTTGTGCGATCCAACAACCCTCTCAACGAATCGATCGCAGGCTTGCGCCTCCACCGCCCGACTGGTTTTATAGCACGCACAACCAGCAATGTACACCAGCCTTGTAAGGTTGAGAGTTCCAGCCTTACAGATTGGCAATTTTATCTTGCTTTATGATTCGCGCTTATTTAGTCTCGAGATGTAAAACCGCCAAGGGGGGTGGAGGAGCGCTCTTTGACTGGTTGCCGGTTGTACTCGGACTGGAAAAAACATCGTTCTGGCAGCAGCAGCAGGGAGAGGAGTGATTTTTGCGAGAGAATGAGAATCATGACAGAATTATAAACGGAGCACACAATCCATACCACTCGTGCAATCACTGCTCACGTAATTTGACTTTTAGTTGATGTTGAGTGAGGATTCCGCTAGTGCTGATGCTGCTGCTAAGGTGTAATAGCCCGCACGCTGGCGTTGCAATCCCGATTCAAATTGATCTTCCGGCGCGACAGTTGATATGATGGTGCAAGTTTTTTTTATAGTTTAAATACCCCCCCCCCGCCCACACACACACTCAGCAGTATTAATGGATCCACCATCGCAGCAGGTCGTGCCTGGTGGAGCAAAATGTGGGTAGCATTGTGTTTTAGTAATGAGAAGCCATGCGCTGAAAACCCGGTGACCAGAGTTTCACTCTCGGCCACGGCTACCACGAGAGCTTCATACTTGTGGCAAAACATTGTTTTGCGTGTTTTTGCCACAAGTATGTGTGGTTCGTGCAGACTTGATGCCTTGCAAAAGGTATCTATTAGGTGATTGGACATCTGAACACCTGTTTTATTGCCAGAAAGGTGTAAAACCTTTATTTTATATATACTGGCAAAAAGGTCCCGGAGATAATATTTTCATCGTCCGTTACGTTACGTTGAGAAGTCACTTAGAAGAGAATTAACATTTAATTCACGTCATGTTTGGGTATGGATATGATCATTCAAGTTACCTTTTTTGAAATTCACTCTCTTGATTGTTTTGTGAATATACAACGAATGTTCCGGGCTTTAAAACCTTTTTTTATCACAAGCAAAATATTTGTACTTACACTGCAGTTACGAGACGAGATTACTTTTGTTAATTTAAAATGCCAGCATGAAACATTTATTTACGTGAAGATCAGCTTTATTTTTTTTATTAATTATTGAGCATCCTAGCCATTTGCTGTCAGGTGCTGTTAAACACAATCTTAATTGAGGAAGGTTTATAAACCTTATAGTCTGAGGAACGCAGAGGCAGGAAATAGCAGATGTTGCAACTACAGAAAGATCTGTATTTCAATGCACTTCTACATCACTGGATACAAGATTGATGCCGACTGGCTAATGGGATGCTGACTGCATTACCACGCTACTAAGGCACATTTAATTGATTTTTTTTGTTCCAGTGCTACGAAAATATCCCATCGCTCTTACAGTGCCCAATATGATTGTTTAAAAGGACCTTGCATTGATTGTTTTCGATTCCATTTTCTAAAGTTGTAAGTCGAGACAAAATATTCATCACGTCCTTTCTCAGTTTTGTTTTTTTTCCCACAATATTGTCAGTGGGGAAAATTAACTATTTTGGTTGCGTAATATTTTCGTAAGTGTACGTTCCTTTTGAAATGGTGGTCTGTTGAATGCTCCCTTGTCGACAATTATTTAACATTATTTTGTTTGTGCTCACATTTACCATTTTTTTTTTATAAAGTACATTACATTTTGAAATTCGCACAACTTGAAAGTGATGAGAATTAATTATCCACAGAGGTATACTATATTAGAAAAATAATGTAAACTTTAATGCTTTTTGTACTCGTCCAAGTGGAACAGTACCAACAGGCACAATAAGATGTGAAAATTATTTTTTAACTAGATATCACTCTCCAGAGTACACCATAACTCCCGGGTGTTTTGCTGTGGTTTAAACCACCCGCCTGTTTTTAACTGTTTAGATGATGACGTTGAGGGTGATTGTGAATATGATAGTGCTGACAATTAAAGAGCAGTGGTAACGCTCTTATCCTTGTACGGGATATATTGCGCAACTATAAAGGAAAGATTGAGATTTAAATACGGTTTACTCAACTCGTATGTTATTGTTTGCGATAAGCAAGAGCGTCTGTGTCAAAAAGGGCGTATTTATTTCAGATCAGTCTTGACGTTGCAACGGTTATTTCATCAATTTTCTCACGTGAGCATTGTAAAGACTGACCAAACTGCAAAGAGCTTTGAACGATTACGAGTATCCAACCTGATCGGGACATTTGATTTCATAGCATCACTTTGGAACGTGGTCATCCCGAGGGGCCCAAATCGGTGTGAAACGGTGGTCCAGAAGATTTATATTTGAAATAGATTAAGTTTAATGTAATTTTCATTCATGCCCTATTCTCAATGGTTATGTTCAATTCATACGCACACACTTCGAATTCAAACATTTGTATATTTTTACAAACGATATAAATCGAGAGAACGCGCGCAAAAAAAAACACGCGTCGTCACATGCCATGCGGCGAGGGATCCACAGCTGGGCTCTTCTTAAGGCGTAAACAATGACTGCGTCCGCGTGCGCCGTGCACAGTTTTCACGCCACGCACCGTCACCGCTCACGCCCGTGTCCCGTGTGCACGCGTGTACGCCGGCAGAACCACGAGTTCGTGGACGAGAAGGTGTTCGAGGACAACTGCCTGGAGGGATCCGTGGGACACCGCACGCCCAGCCGCAGCCCCTCGCTCTCCTCCCACATGCACAGCCTCACGGGCACGTGCTGCTCCCGCCGGGGGAACAAAAAGGCCTTCCGCCTGCCCAACTCCAACATCTCTGGCAGCGGCGTCGGCAGCGCGCAGGAGCTCAACACCATCCAGATCCGCTCGCTGGAGCGAGCCACGCATTTGCCCAACAGGTGAGGGTGCCGCTTAGAGGATTGGCCAAGTGGCCAGGGGGTGGGGGGCGTGGTAGAGATGCCCGCTCGGGCGTAGGGGGACGGGCGTCTGAGCGCAAACCACGTGGCCGATCGCGAGCTTCGCCAGCAAGGCGTTAAATCTGGCGCTCGCGCCCAGGGAGTTTGTTTAAGTGCAATAATTAACGGTGATTAAATCTGGTGCCACGTGTAATTCACGTAATTCCCTCGGCGGTATCCGTTTATAGCAGAAACTAAAACAAAATCTGCCTAGTAGATTGAGTACCACCGTATTTGCTCGGTGTTCGTCAAAGGGTTGAGCTAAACATTTCACGCTACGCTCATATTTTTGTCTTCAATTCCTAACAGCAACAAAAATAATAAGAGTTACAGCTTCTACAGCGCCTTCCATAAAATCTCAAGACGCTTCAGATCAATGGCCTTTGGGCCATTTGGGTAAGAAGTGGCCGAGTTAAAACAGAAAAGACCTTCTGAAAGAAAGAGTTTTTAGGCTGCGACTTGAAGATTCTCAACTGAGCCCGACTCCCTGGACAGACTTCGCCAGAGTGTTCTAGCTTTGGGGGTGCCTTAATGAAGACATCAAGAGAACACATTCCTTAGCCACCATGGTGGCGACATGTTATCTCCCTTGCCTGCTATGCAGGAAGCCGTGGGTTCGATCCCGATCCCGACCCTGACGCGTGCATATTTTCAGTTTGCATGTTCTTTCCGCGGACGCGTGTATTTTCCTCTGGATCCCCCAGTTTGTTTTTTTCCCCTCCACATTTAGAAGCACGCGTTTAGAGTAGTTGGCTATTGCTATAAATGTGCACGTGACAAGCCACTTCGCTGAGTTATCATTTGTGGCCAGGTTGCTTCTGAAAAAGAGATGTATAGCTCAGCGTGCCTTACCCCGTAAAATAAAATTAAAAAAAATATTTTATCGTGTTGATATGTTTATCAAAGGTGTGGTTGTGCCTCATGCTTTATATCGGCACATAGCACTGTTAATATTCCGAAACGAAAACCTTGCCCAAGCGAGGGATTAATTTAACATAATTAGAAAAAGTGAGCCAACATTTTTCAGCGTGAACCTATGTTTCATGCCTGTAAGGTTGCTTTTCACCTGTCATTCTTAATGCGCCTATCACGTGTTAGCCAGCAGTGTTAACACACCAACTATGCCAAGCAGGCATTTATATGTATTTCTTTTTTAAAGAGAAATTTGCCAAGTTAATTATTCACAATTATATTATATTAAATCATGGCCAATGTTCATCAGTCCAGATTATTATTTTTCATTTAAAATAAGGCACAATGAATCGTGATTTGTGGGTAATATTTTGAATTTAAATTCTTATTTTTAACGTATCAATCGTGGGCTGTCAGAACATTCTGTCCACAATTTTTTGGTGAAAAAAAACAGACAAAATTGCTCAATTATGTGTCACATTTGCTGCGACACATAAGTGGAAACTGCTATTCTGCCAAACATGAATTATAAGGCTTCTCGTAGCATAAATGTGATTCAATGTTTGAGAGAAGCTACCCTGGTGTCATGGGTATCACACTGGACTTGCAATCCAGAAATCGTCCAATTGGATATGGCACGGCAGTTGAATGAAATGGGAAAGTCTCTAAAACCCACCCCCTCTGTCCACACAGCAGTATCAATGGGTTCGCCTACAGTTAGTTGGTCAACAGGTCACGTGTGGTGGGGTAAAGTGTGGGCACTCCCATCTCCTCTTTCAAGAGCCTCTGGCCAATGTGGAAGATTAGGCCAAATACACTTTAGAGGGGGCTCTAGAGAGCTCACTCGAGTGGAGGCCCTTTCACCAGCATGGGTGAAGAGCAAAGTATTGTCGGTCTGCACGTTTACCATTTAAGTTGTTCATGGGGCAATAATAGCACATCACGACCCAGACCCTGAGCCTGAAAGTGGTGGAAATTCCACATTTACACGTAGGTATGCAATATATCTTGAAACTGTCAATTACCCTTGAGGTGTATAATTTTTTCCCCAATGGGAATGCCATTCCCATTGAGGGAGTTCACAATGCTTTAATAACCACCGCTGTGAGGCATTGCGAGAGGGCACTGACAATTGTAAAAAAAGGGGTCACGAAAACTTTTAATATATTTTCAAGAATGGGACATTATGTTTCAGTGGCATGACAAAAACACTGTCGCGACGGGCCGATTTATTTTATGAAAGAACCTGGTATGCAGGGCTAGACATCACTGTAAACAGTATTCATTATAAACTATCTATAGATCTATGTATCAGGAAAATGTTAGAATTAATCCTGAATGTCCAAGGACATAGGTACATGAATTGGTGTAAAGTGTGCAAGATTTAAAATGACAATGTGTGTGTGTGCATATATACAGCATGGTGGGGAGTGGTAGTGTAGCAGTTAGCGCGCTGCACTACGAACCGGGCCATCCAGGTTCGATTCCCGCTCACAGCCAACATCGGTGACGATTATCTGAACTGGGCCTGGGCCTCCACTAGGTCGACTCAGTCTCAAATGAGTACCTGGTGCGGTGTTGTAAACATCGCCACTAGGGAGACAAAGGCGGCCGGGCGTGGCGTTGCCCACCCACCCCCTCGTGTGCCGTGCCGGCCTTCATAGGCGCTCGCTAACAGCGCTTGCCCCAACAGTCTGTTAAGGCTACACGGGGGGTCTGTGTCTTGGGGAGCATTGCCACAGTGGTCCACACACCCCAAGCTCTGAGTTTGATTCCCTAACCATGGCGGAAATCAATGATGAGCGCCCCCCTCTGCCTTCACCAACGCGCCTTGGCCAGCGTAGCCACTGCAGTCGAACAACCCCGCGACCGATTTGGCATTGGGAGGCCTTCATTGAGCAGTGCACTTTAAGAATGGGCTGAAATTATTTTTAATTGTTGTTCTTATTCAGGCATATAGGCATTGGAAATGGGAGACTATTAAAAAAAAACAGAGACGTAAGTGTGGCAATATGGTGAGGTGTCAGCTACTACAGTCAAAGTATTATTCGGTAGTGTGATAGCCAAGTGATAAATGTTCCTAATGCTTGAGTTTTCTCGAATGTTTCCAAATTCACTGAAAGTGGACGCATGTTGGACCAGTGCGTAAGCAACTTTTCTTGAGTTGAGAACCATCAGAAGCGATATCCCTGATGTTTCAACCCGCGAGCCCAAAGCTTAGCCTCAACATTAAACCCTTCATTGCAGTCAATACAATCAATTACTTGGAAGGGCATCCTTTACCAAAGGTTACTAAGGGCTATATTATCACATGGCATCATTTCAGCTTAGTTAATTGATTCACACATCAAAAATGTTCAAATATCTAAGTCCTCTTATGGCATGGAGAGTCAATAAGTTAATTAACAATGAAATGGAAATCATTGAAAATTTCAAACCTCACGGAAAAAGTTTTAAAGTTTTTGTAACTATTTGGAAGTTTTGCTAGTGCTTGAAATTTATTTCATATTTCAGAATATAATGAAAGTGAGTTATAGACCGTGGCTGTGAATATGTTAAGGCTCCTTAAGTTTAGATTCCCAAGGATTGCATGCCAGATGTGGAAACCTGCCTGCTAATGTTTATCGTCAACATTTAACCTTCATTTAAATCGGTCAATAAAATCAATTTACTTGTAAGGTCATCCTATACCAGAGGTTACAAGGGGCGATATTATCACATTGCACAATCTCGGGTTAGTTCCGTTTCACATCAAAACATTGTAAAATCTATCAGGAAAATTTCGTAAATAAAAGTAATAATTTAATAATGGTTATATGTATTACCAAATATCAATAGCCTCCTATATCTGTAAAAAAAAAATCCTACAATGACTTCAGATCTGTCTTAAATATATGAACATTATTCAAATACTTCGGACTAATAACAATGGCATTGCCAAACAAGCCACAGAAAACCCGTGGCAATTGAAAACAAATCACGAGCTTTCAAGACGTTATCCCCACTGGCGCTATCACGGGACAAGTTTCATAAAAGTTGAAACGAAACACTGCAAGCACATTGGTACAGCAGTGGAGCCATGGTTCCATAGGTATCACACTCCACTATGACCCAGCGACCCGAGTTGGATTCCCTACCATGTCTTTAACTTCAGTGGAAATCTAACAGCTAAACCGGTTCCGAGACCACCTCCCCCCCCTCCCTCCCCCCCTCACGAATATGCACAAATCAGCGTGGTGAAGTATGGTCAAACAACGCCAATGACCGACAAGGCTTTCAACCAGAAGTGGGTGGAGGCTTTCAACCAGAAGTGGGTTGACAGATCTGTACGTTATAATATTTGCATTGCTTAAATTCAGTACTTCAAAACTCGATGTGGCTGGATGGGTTGTGTGGCAAATGCTCATGTCAGTGCACTGAACTGGTGAGTCAATCATCTCAGAGTAATCACCAGTTCCTGCACAAAAATGAAATCAAATGGCATTTGCTTTGTTAATTTCGGTTATCGCATTTTAGTGCGGAGGGATTTTTAAAAAATGTAGTTTGATTACCAAGCGGTGAACACTCTTTACGGGACAGATTAAAATGACAATTGTGCCCACTCAGTTGCGGGTGAGAGGCCCATTGACGTGGCTTTGGAAGAATTCTGATATAATTTTTTAAGGTCCATTCTCTTGACATGAGCACTGCCCACTGTGAAAGATGACGGTGCAGCCCTGCAATATCTGCTCGCGCAACTGCTGACAGAAGGGTCTCTACTCGAAAGCCCCTCTTGGCTACATTTTCGTCCACTTTTTCCACAATGTATGTCTCACTCCGTACGTAGCCAGCGGTGCTAAACGGAGGTGCGGGAGAAGGACAGCAAAGACGGTGTCTAGACATCTCGGAAGAGGTGGCAGTAACCCTTTATCTCACCGCACACGACCTACCGGTCACCTGCTGATGTCCACAATTATACTGCTGGGCACACACAGGTGGGGTGGGGGGGGGGAGACTTTAAAAACCTGCCCATCGATTGACTTGCCATGCTGGGAGATCGAAGCAGTGACCTCTCAGTGCGAGCTAACCATTAACAACCGTGGGAGCACCAGCTTTGATCGATGAGTGCAGAGCCTTTCAATAATTATTTTCGTGATAAAAAGATGCGACATTTGACACGGTTTGCTAAGAGGGAGGGAGGGAGGGAAGGGAGGGAGGGAGGGGAGGGAGGGAGGGAGGGAGGGAGGGAGGGAGGGAGGGAGGGAGGGAGGGAGGGAGGGAGGGAGGGAGGGAGGGAGGGAGGGAGGGAGGGAGGGAGGGAGGGAGGGAGGGAGGGAGGGAGGCGAAGTGAACTCCTCCGTCTTCACCTGTCCGCAGGCGCGAGAGTCTCAACGCCAAGCTGGAGGAGACGGCCAAGCTCAACTGCGACCCATCTCACATGACGACGGCAATCATCAGCATCCCGACGCCGACCACCACGCCCGAAGGAGAGAACCGGCCCCCGTCCCCCGGCGCTGCCCACCACCCCTCCAGCCAGGCCAGCCCCAGCGTCATCAAGATCTCCGCCTTGTGAGGCCACCGATACATAAAGTCGTTCATTTTTCGGGTGGTTTGATTTCTTTTTTTTGGTTGCCTTGCGATGGGCCCTGGAGGAGGAGGAGGAGGAGAAGGAGGAGGCAGAGTGGCGAGGAAGAGAAGGAGGAGGGTGGCTGGGAAGAGGAGGATGGTGGCTGGAAGCCCCCAGGTGCTCCAGCACGATGGAGAGTGGAGGCCACAGGCAGGTTTTACTGGCGGAGGGGCCGCGAGCAAGAGCCGACGGGAGGAGGAGGACTCCCGTTCGCAAGCACGGAGACGGTGCCGGGAGCAGAACTACTCTGGCGGGAGGCTCCGTGGGGGTCTGCACACAGAGAGGAGAAGAGAGTTTCGGTCTGGTTACGTTTTTTTGCTGCTGCCGATGCTGTCTCCAGACTGTGTCCGAGAATGGAATATTTATTTAATTTTATGCAGAGAGCACGTGGAAGTAAATATGTATTAGCTGTTTATATTAAGCTTCACGGAATTTTAGTCTTGAGTTTCACAATGTGAATACAATGGAATGAGGCTAGTTTCTCAAGTTTCTTACTGTGTGTGCGTGCGCACAGCTCCCGTGCACCTGTATATTCTGTCACCTGTGCGTTTTGTTCGTTTCGTCGTATGCATGACCACTCGTCCGTGCACATTTGAAAGAGGCGCGTTTCTCTCTGAGTGTTTGGAATTCGGTGCAATTCAGGTTTCACTGTTGGAAGGGTTTGAGGAATCGTAACAGTTTTGTGTATATTACACAGATAATGGCCAGCTTTATGCATGTCATCATCAGGACGTTTTGTTGGTAAGCAAGAAAGATTTCTATCAGGTACTGCAAAGTTACAGTTACTGTTTTATTTTGATAAAATTATACCTTTACCCTTGCACATTCTTTGTTCGTGTGTACATTAAGGGAATTGATTGCGGAGAATTTTTCAGACTTTTCAAGATTGCACCGAAGCCGAGTGTGAAACAACATTTTCACGAGCATAAGGTTTGAGAATGTTGTGTTTTGGGTTTATGATGATGATGATGATGATTATTATTATTTTGAGATGAACACGAACCCAGCTCGGCTTCCTTCATGGTAAGCAAATGGCTTCAGCAAGAATTGCTGTTCGAAAATGTGACATCTTTCAACCATCGTATAATATAAACAGGTGGTGGTTCTCACACCCATGACAATGTTACAAGACATCTTAGTTTTTAATAGTCCAGCCTTGTGTATTTATAATGGATAATGGAAATGCTGTAATTCTATGGACAACACGTATTCAGACACATGCATGGCTTCAAAAAAGAAATGCTCCAGTGTTATCTTTCCTAGGTAGTAACTTTGTGTTAGTACCATAACCCCCTAACCTTTTACATGTGTTGTTGATGCCAAATATGTTTAAAAAAATTATAATGTATTTTAAAAAAAAACAGGCATTTTTTCCATACAGTAGTGCTGCATAGAGTTTAAATGCTTCATTGCAGCATAGCTATCAAAAGTACAGAGGTTAGGTAGAACAGACATCTGCAAAACACGTGCTTGGATTTAATGAAGTTGGGCCACACTATCACTGCAGCGGTTTTGCTGTGACCTGATCAGAAGGGAACCCCACACGGGGCTGATGATGGTTTCACTGAATACAGGGTAGTGGTATAATACATTCACATATATATGTTCATGCTGACTTCGGACCAGATACTTCCAAATCACTTTGTTGTTGGAGGTTTATGCAATAATAATAAAAAAAATCAATAAGTAAAAAAAAGTGAAAACATTAAAAAAACACAAAGCCAGCAGTTTCCGATCACACGTCTAACGGCAGTGGGTTTCTTACCGCAAAAGTTTTTTTGAAAGGAAGTGTACAAACGGTTTAGGGCCTTCTGATTTTGAAATGGAATGTACGGTGCATTGCGTTGCGTGGACTAACGCTTTATTGTCGTCGTGAACTTATTTTAACTGTCTACGTGTCTGCTTCGGGTTTCGGAGGTCGTGAAATTGGCGTGCTGAAGTGACTCGCTTTGGGGACGTTATAGAAGGAAAGAGACAACAGGAAGTCCGTACAAAAAAATGTTTTTTGCCTGGCTATTTGTTCCTTACAGGACTGGGACGTGACACATCTTCTCTAGTTTTTTGACGCGTGAACCTCTAGAATTGCCGTTAGCACATTTCGTGAAATAAACCAACAGACAGCTACTTGCATAGTTCACTGTGTTAGGTCTCACACATGTCTGCATTGTTATACGTTCTCCTTTATTCCAATTGGTTTTGTAAAGATGCACAAATCTGTTATAAAATCGCTTGTGCAACACTGAGCAAATAAAATGAATCTTTGCATGCTTAATATGCATTAAGTGCAATGTATCTAGTGCTCATGTCCAGTCCCCCATCACCATATAGAGTAGGTCCTTTTTTTTGCGCTCTCTTTGAAAGAAGTTTAATATATCGGTCAACATCCATTCTCTTTCTCTGTTAAATAAACTAGTTTTAAGTGGATATGCGCAAGAGAAAACAGTTCAATAAAATTTGTGAATTCATTTAATTGCTCTTCTGATGAGAATCGTAAGGTTTTGCTGTGTATTTCCTCCCAAATGCGAGGTCTTAAAGTGCAATTTGAACGATAATTTATTCCCCCTCATGCAGATGGAACGATTGTTTTTTTTTTCTCATGCTCCACCAGAATTAACTTAATATGATTTGAATGTGGTGTGCATATGACTGCCAACTATGTAGTAAAGCTACTGCCTCGAGACTTCAAGCATTGTGTGAGCTACGTCTTGCATCTGAGCACCGGAATATATGTGAATCTTTATCAAAAGGGCGAGAGTTTCTTTTGAGATAGCAGGGCACAATGTACATTGTCCTTTTGTTGTCAGTCCCAATGAGCTCGTGGTAGGATAAGGCCAAGGAATATTGCCAAGCATGGGTTTATACACAGATAATTGTAAATGTAATTACGCACATTACTATTCACAGCGGTGAACGTGGTCCATTCTAAACTCTCTTTCATTTATGTTCAAATGTGACTAAACATTGATCCCATTGGGTTTCCCTTTTAGTCGATAATTATTTGTAGATGGCACAGATTGGGAATTGGCCAGACATAATTAGTATATTTGTATCAGAATGTTATATATTGTTTGAATTATTATTAGTTATAAATTACATAAAATATGTTTACTATCAAAGTGTAACAAACAGGTGGTAAATGTAACACTAAATACTTCTCAGCCAACCAAAAAATACATTCCTCCTTTAAGAAGGGTCCCCTAAAGCAGCCACAGCTACCATATATCGCCATGATTAGGTCGAAACATATAACCAATACCTTAAACTGTTGTAAATGTTTTAGGTTATTTTTTACAGTATATCCCAAGCGCACCCAAAGAATGTTTGAATAACTGCTCACTACCTGCTAGGACATATATAGTTCAGACAACACGGTCATGAACAACAACAAAACAAGAGAAATCTGAAAAGTACAAATAAAACACGGAGAGCGATGCATCCTGGGAATTGCACTGAGAGACCGACGGAGGAAGACTTGGATGAGAGAACACGCGCAGGTTAATGACCACATCCCAACTACTCAGGAAAGTTAGTGGGCTTGAGCAGGATACGACGTTAGGATGATGCAGCGGTCAAGAATAGTTGGTGGAGTGGCAGTCAACTGCATTCGGATGGATGTCCACAGAGAGGATGGGAGTGATCAAAGTCAGCTTTGCACTTTTACATCCACATTGAAAACTTACTTCTTTAGAACTGATTTTTGTGTTTAGTTTGTTGCCCTTCCCCCGCACCTCCGATGGGCACAGTTGGCTACGTGCGGGTCTTCAAAGAAGTTCACCACACAGCTCGTGTGTGCAGGTGATCGGTGGACTCTTACATCGCGTGATTGTGAAAGAGGTGTGATGGTGGCTTTGGGAGGCCTTCATCCAGGAGTGGATTGTTCACGGCTGATGATCATGCCATGTGGTGAATGCCCTCCCTGCAGAGGAAAGATCGCAGCCAGCAGAGATCACATGCGTCGTGCCAAGGAGCGGTTCTGGGAAGGTGATCACCCACACAACGATGCTCGAACAGCCTTCTGCAGCACTTCTATAGCACCCATTACACTCAAGTTAATGCCTGTTGCAAATCATTCGTGATGTGTATTGCTTCACTGCGAAAAAAATGACTCTCCTCCGGGGATTGTATTCACAGTTGCTGAGCAAAGGCCCAAAACGTCAAGCAGCCAGCAACAATCAGCTCTGTCAGAGTTGCAATAGACTGAGCCAGCTTTATACCATCTAAATACGGTACCATACGAAGTTAATACCAACGAGTTTACTATTTGTGGAGACGGGGGTGGTAATTAATGGATAAGCTGAGAAGCGTGTGAGAATGTTGTTGATTCTTGGCCGTTTCCCGAAATTCAAACCAAGTTTATGAGCGGTGTGAGCTTGGTTTGCTGCTAAAATTGTTCTGCATATGCAGAAACCCGTCAACATTGCCTGAAGAATTGCATTGCGGTTAGTGCCGGGTTATCCGAGTAGCAAAGGTAGCAAATGCTACGGCCCCCGCACTTTCAAGGGCTCCGCGCTAAATGCTTTCCAGCTGTAAATTTCGGTTCAGTGATTCTGCACTTGCTCTATTACTGTAGTACTATACCGCCTTCAACTTTTATGAACGACCGGGTGTTTAAGGTTAGCGATTTGTCGTATTATCTGGCTGTATAGCAAATGAAAAAATACAAATTACTTTACTATGCAAGTAAAAAATTTTGCGTTTTAATATTTACGTGTTTTTTTTTAATCTAGGGCCCCTTTATAACATCATGCTACAGGCCCCGCACTAGCTTAGTCCGGCACTGACTGTGGTCCCCTTTAAGTAAGGTCACCGTCAGAATACAATTGACCAAATCTGACCGACGGGCAGCCGTTATTCAGTGATAAACGTCTTGATCATGACCCATCAGCACAGTACAACCACCAATGCTCAACCGCCGCAAAAGGCTTCAGGACATGCTGATGAGTACACATGTGTGCGGGTTGTTTGCAACTCACGCTTTTCCTGGCCTGCACTGCTATTCTGGGTGTTTTCTTTCACATTTTCAGCATCGTCCATTGTTCGCATGACATGCAACGCACCACTTTTGTAACCGACTTATTTGAATTAGCGGTACACATTTATCCCCCCTACCCACATCTAATTTCCTTTCCGATTATTGGGGCGACTCGTTTGGACAAAAGAAAGCAAAGCCTCATGGCACCCTCTGTGGTAAATTGCATTGCAAAACATGTCAACATATATTCTAAGAATATGAATTACTGCAGTCACGAAAGCTTTAAATCAAAATTTATGTCAACATATTATTGCACGTGTGTGTTGATGGGAGAAAATAAGGTGACGAAGACAAAACGTGCCCTAACTGGCCAGGTATGATACATTATATACAATATACACACACATTCTGCTGAGCGTTGCAATGGAATTATGTCGCCTCATAGCATATGACCTAAACACCTTTGACTGCAGCACAAGTTGAAAGGGTACGTGGAATTATACAATGATCATTATAATTTAAGATCACCATTGGGATGTGATCTTACAAGTACCTAATTTGTATTCCGCTAATTGCTTCTAATTATACAAAGGGATCGCGCGAAACTATTTCCGAAGTATTACCCCGAACAAAAACAACACGCTTGAATTCTAAGCGATATCTCAACTATATTTGCTGTCAAACAGCTGCAACTGCTGAAGATGAAGAGCGAGGCGTGGAAGTCCGCAAGTTTTTCAAGCAGACTTTATTCGTGCCAATGTCCAAACACTCGGACCTCGCGATCTCTACAGGACACCGAGAGAGCGACCTCGAAATCTAACCCCACGTGTGACACAACACGGCACAGCAACTACACAATCATCATCTCCCTGGGTGCTTACAGCAACACGGTGGTAAGCGTTTCAAACTATACAGTTATACGTAAAAGCAACTATTTTGCACGTTAAATTGCATTCCATTCGCTTCATTATTGTATTATAAACTCGTGACAAATTCGTTACGGGCGTTGTAATTACGGAATTCACGAAACACGACAAAACTGAGCCAATCAGTTTCGATACAGACGGTATTTTCTCAATGTCTAAACATCTCTCATGAAAGGGGTATTCTTACACATTGTTACCACGGTAACGAGGTGGTCCACTAGAATAGAATAATTAATTATTGGCGAGAGAGAGAGGATCCTCTCGATAAGAACTGTATTCTCTTGCCTCTATTTCGTATCTGTCCGTCCGTCACTCACCGACTAAAGCATCGTTCCACAGAGTGTGCGTCCCTGCCACGAGGTTCCATTAACGCTTGTCCTCTGCACAATTTAACCCCGGCACAAGGTTCGCTGACATTGTGTCGTGGCAAATCGAGAAGCCGTGCGCAGAAAAACCCCGGTGACCAGACGTTTCAGTCCGAAGCCACAGCCGAGGGCACACTGCCTGCCCTCCAGGACATGCACACCACTACGGTGTCGTAGAAGATCATTAAGGACCTCAGCCACCCGAGCCACGGACTGTTCACTCTGCTCTTCGTCTGGCAGACCGCACAGGAGCATCGGATCTAGGGCCAAGAGACCCCGAGACAGCTCCTACCATATTCTTAGCTCTTTCGGTGAAGTCACGTTGAAGGGAAGCAATAAAATAATAAAATATATATAAAACAATAAAAAAAAATCTCACGACGTTTCGACCATAACACAAACGGTCAACGTGACTTTACCGAAAGAGCTAAGAATATGAATTACTGCAGTCACGAAAGCTTTAAATCAAAGCTCCTGCCATATCAGGCCATCGGACTGTTGAACAGCCATCACTGCGTACTTACATACTGTATACTCGACAAAGCTCACGCTAATATATATTGTTGTACGTATCATTCATAGTATATAGATTTGTTTTCATTCGTGCCATGCATATACGCACATTTTGTTATTTGGATTATTGTTAAGGTGTTATTTGGTTTGTAGTTTTTGTTTTGGATATTTCGTGAAATGTTTAGATTTTTGTTTGAAATTTTTTGTTGATTATTTGTTAGACATTGTTGTGGAACTGACAAGTGAAGCATTTCTTCTGCACCCGCTATAACATCAGCTTCGCTGTGTATGCGACCAATACACGTTGGTTGATTGATATAAATGGGATACCCCACCGTCGATTGGGGGGGTCGCTTGTGGCGGGGCAAAATGTGGGTAGTGCCACCTCTTCCAAGACGTCTGGTCAGAGTGGAAGAGTAGGCCAAATACCCTGCACTGAAGGCCCTGCTGCCAGCAAGTGGCGCGAGCGAGCAGCTACAGGACTGCTCCTTCATCCGTAATTTGCAATTGAAAGGAGCAACAAAAACAATCCCGTGAAGTTGACAAGTATTCTCTGGCAAGAGAATGTTTTCATTGCATTGGTTGCAAAAGGCCTCCCCTTTGCGCGGCGCAAATTTCTGTGGAAAGTCACTCTATTTTGTCCCGATGTTTATTTTCTCCCAATTCTGCGGCTGCATTCACAAACCTGCGTCTC